GTAAGAACAGTTGGGGGTACATCGAGGGTGTGGGATTTTTAATGAGAACGAGGCATTGAGAAAAAGTGCGATGCAGCCAAAGTAGTTATGTCATGAGAGATAAGAATGTTTATGGACAACTCAACGACGACCTGATGCTAAGACGAGACGCCCGGTCACCTTGAATAGATTTTGAAGTTAATATTGTGAGAAGATTACGGTGATGGGAGGTTGTTCCAAATTGATCGTTGCTGCCTCCATGGTTGCTTCGTCGTTGGATGTATCGTTGGTTGGTGAATCGTGTGCGTTACAGGTTGAGATGGCTTGGTTGCAAGATGGTTCTGCTTCTTTTGTTCCCTTATTGGGGGACCTGATTAGCTACAGTGAGACGTTATTTGATGAGTTATCTAATGGTTATGATTCTTTTCGCTTGGGCATCGCTACCTTTGTGGACAAGCCATCGCCTTTTCGAGGTGTAGGTAACGGCCGAGGAATATCCCCTGATCAGGGTGAGTATGATTACTGTTACAAACGGGCGGTTCCTCTGTCGTCGGATGTGGACGCCATCTCCGAGGGGTTCCAGACGGTGACGGAACTCCGAGGAGTTGGAGGTGACGGACCTGAGAACCCATACGAAGGGTTGCTGTACTTAGCACAAGATGGTTCCATGGGCTTCTCCAGCCAGTCGGACGATACCAGCCAGTCGGACGATACCAGCCAGTCGGACGGCAATAACCTACCCATTGCCGCACGCATCGTACTTATTGTCACAGACGATCTACCGCACTACGAGGGCGACGCCCAGTTGGGCATTGACTGGTGGAACCCTAACTCGGGTGTAGAACCTGAGTCGCCCCACTTTTGGAGTCCTGAATTCATCAATACCAATCTGTACTATCCAAACGATAGCCCCGCTATCTACGACCCCGTCAGCAACGGTGGGAACTACATCAGGCTGCTCGAACTCAACGACAAGGCGAAGCAGGGACAGGCATTGCCAGTTCGCAACCTCCGTCTTAGAGGCAGTACTTTCACAAACTCAACAAAGAACGTGCAACTC